TACTGATGCATTTTCCCCCCAGTAGTTTAGATGCACAATTGAGTGAATCCACAAAAGCAGAATTGGTTGATTCGGAGAGCTGGCTACCCTCAAGCTCAGAAATGCTTTCCTCAGCTGTGTCTCTTCTGCTGATAGGCCCCTCAAAGGCATTCCTTTATGGTGGCAGTGTTGTGGATCCCTAGCAGTTCTTCTTTTCCCCTTTACATTTTCATCCCTCTGCTTATACTAACCATGTATTTTGGCACAATATCTACTTCGTTATCAGAGCCTTTAGCATATTAATCATAGTTGTTTTGAATTTCATTTCATTTCTCTACATAATATTTTCTAAAAATTTTAACCCTTTACCATTTACCTTTTTGTTTCTTGCCAATCAGAATTTTTTCTTTATATTGTGCATGGTATGTCTTACTCCCTTTTCATTGATTACTTTGTCCCCTCCCTCTTTGATCTGTGGTATCGCTGCTGACTAAATCTGGCTTGTCTGTAATGCGTCCCTGATTCTGGGTTCTTCATTCTATTAATGTTTACTCATTTTGTGTGTTGGCTTTTCTTGGTACTTGACTTTTTAAAATTTGAATTAGACATAGCTCGTCTAGTCCCAGGGAAAAGCTTATGGGATGCTGATCAAGGCTGCATATAATCTATAGCCCCGGGATCTATGCTTTTCAGTACATATCTTTTTTTTTTTCCAGAAGAAACTTGTTCATCTTTTTCCATTAAAGTCTGTTGTTCCCCAGTTCCTCTCACACTTAATTAATGGAACTGCAGTGGAAATTTTTGTTTTAAAAATTATACTTTCTAACTCTGCTGGTAATATATAAGAAATCAATTGTTTGCAAATGTGGATCTTTTATCCCTCAATCTTATGAAACTCACTTATTTTTATAATTTATTTGTAAAAATTATTGGGATTTTTCTATGAAAGAATCATATAATCTTTAATATCGCTTACTTGATTTCAATCCTTTATACATGGACTAGTACTTCCCAATGTGGTATTGCTGAATAAAAGTAGAGAGTCTATTAAAAACAATTTTTATTTTTTATTTTTTTTTTGGCAGAACTGGGGATTGAACTTTGGCCCTTACACTTGCCAGGGAAGTGCTTATTCCACTGAGCCATCTCCCTGGCCCCCCAAAAACAATTTTTATATATGACACTTTTATGGACTTTCGAGATATATTCTCCACACACATAAAGAAATATTTTTCCTAGTTTACCAACTTTTAAAAAATGATAAGTGAATATCCTTAGGTATTTTGTTTTCTTTTTTCAGATGATAAATATAAGACCACGTGGACACGTCAATGGAGTAGATCCACTAAAGAGAAGTGAGGATGCAAAAGAGAAGAAACAACCTAAACTAGCGTCCTTAAGAACTTAGATGGGGCCAGGGAGATAGCTCAGCTGAGTAAGTGTTTGCCTGGCAAATGCAAGGTCCTGAGTTTGATCCCTGGTACCAAAAAAAAAAAAAAAAAAAAGAACTTCGAGGGTGGATTTTTATATAGTTCTTTGAAGACTAAAGTACTTAACATGGTGCCTAGCCTGTTAATTTTCTGTGGTTGCTATAATAAATGACTACAAGCTTTGCATCTTACAACAACATAGATTCATTGTGCCTTAAAACACCAGACAGTAAACCCTAAATATTCTCTGATAGTTCTGAAGGTAAGAAGTCTAAAATCAGACTCACATGGCTGACGCCAGGGTATCAGCAGGACTACATTCTTTCTGGAGGATCCACACAAGGATCTGCTTCTTGTCTCTTCTAGCTGGTAGAGGCTGCCAACAATCCTTGGCTTGGGGTCTCTTCCTCCAACTTCAAAGCCAGTAGTATGGTGTTCTCAAACCATTCTATGCTTCTGTTTTAACACTGTCTTCCTTCCATACGATAACATTTATTAATAATTAGGCCTACCTGGAAGTCTAGGATGACGTCTTGATCTCAAAAATCCTTAACTTATTTTCATCTACAAAGTCTTTCTGTGTACAATACCACATTATATTCCCAGGCTCTGTGGATTAGGACACCAAAGTATGGGTGACCGTCAGTCAGCTTTCTACATTGAGCAAGCGTTGGATTACATGTTGGTTTCCCAGGTCCAGAACGGATGGGCATTGTCAGTTCCGTGTAATTTCACCCCACATTTCTCAGCAAATGGAAGCTGCTATGAAGACTATTTTAAAAAGAGATGTTTCTGCCATAAGCTGCCAGCTCCAGGTCTATCTTATTGTTTTGGGAATAATACATTGGGCAATTTCTAGCTGACCAAAGGTTGTTAGTAAAGCCCCCAATTATTAGTACATCTTGTACTTCAGTACTTCCTGTGTCACTGCCCCAAAAGCAAAGTAGTCTCCCTTCCCCATGTGACTTACTTCCTCGCTGTCTTTTTTTTTTTTTTCTTAATGTATTTAGTACAGGGTCTTACTACACAGATTGGACTTGTAGTGATCCTCCTGTTTTCAGTCTCCCAAGCGCTGAGATTACAGGCGCCTGCCACCACGCCCAGTCTCAGTCGATGTCTTAGCATGCCCGGGGGTCAGGGCTGGCATGCCCAGTTCCTGAGTTTGCCTAAAAAGGGGCTTCAATCCACTAAACTCTCTGGCTTGCCCCCTCCTCGCTGTCATGATAGAGGCTCGCGAAGCCACCTCACCAGACTTCTTCCACAGAATACGGAAATCCCTCTGCTCAGCTCCAAGACTCCTTTGCTTCTGAGCACCCACCCCGTCCCAGGGAAGGAGCAGCTACCTGTGTAAGCCTTCCGTCTTGTAAATTTATTTAAAATTTTGATACTTTGCTCACCATGATTTGTTTGCAGCCATTTTTTCTTTCTATTTTTGACCTAGAAGACCAACATACATATTTTAATCTAAACTAAATAAACTAATAAATAATCATTAGTAAACTAAATAATGGACACCAAAGATATCCACATTTAATATTGTATTAAACTATTAGTTGTCCTCATTATTGCACTTTTTTGGCACTTAAAGTTTGCTCCTGAGGTTCACCCTAGTTTCCAATGCTGGTCAGTATTTGTATATATTTTCTCTACTGTCATTTTGGAGGGATACTCCTGGCAAAAGTTCAAACTTTATCTGAGGAGAAAAGTACAAAGCTGTTAGGATTTACTGAGATAACAAAAAAGGAAAAACATCCCCTAACCTCTGAAAGGCACCTGGTCCAAGTGATTCTCTTTGCTGCCAATTGCCTTCTCCAAGCGAAAAAGGATAAACTAATTTTATACCTATTCAGTCCAATAAAGCTCATTGTCCTACCTCTACCTCCAGTGATAAGAGGCAGGAACAGTTCATTTTCCGTTGCTAAGCAACGCAAAAACAGCGCCCCGCATGGGTCTTGGCCACAGAGGCTGAGAGGGATCACCGTCTAAAGTCCGTGTTTGCATTTTGAAGTCAACAATAATTGCAGTTCTCGATTAGCGTTCATTAAGATGGTTTATGCCTGGACTAGCTCCAATATCCACTCAGCGGTTTCAATGGGTTGTTCTCCTAGGGAAAGAAATATTTGGCAATAAAAACCCTGCGCTGATTTCCCCTCGGTAGGTTGGGGGATTCTGGGCACCATCCGCATGCAGTTCCCTAGCCGGGGAGAACAAGCTTCTCTTGAAGGTTCAGAAAGAGGAGAAAGTTCCACCTCCCGCTGGCTTTCTTCCACCCTTCCCAAAAAGTAGGCCAGTGGCGCAGAAGTCAGCGCTGTGGCTTGAGCTCTTGCTATTCCGGGTAGACGGAGCGCACGACCCCATTTCCCCCGAGCCCAGCAGGCAAGCTCGGGAAGGGCCTCCGCGCGTCGCTCCCGGACTCGGGCCAGCGAGAGGCGCGCCCAGCGGCTGACGGGCTCCTGCCTGCCCGGCCCGGCCCGACCCGGCCCGGCCGGGGGCCGAACAGTGGCGTCTGTGTGCAGGCCGGGCCTCAGCCGCGACCCGGCCGCGCTGGCCGCCGCCTCCCAGGTGTTGACTCACCGCGCGGGCGGGCGGCGGGCGGAGCGCTGCCGGGCGGAGGAGCAGCCCGGCGCCTTGCCTAAGCTCCCCGCGCCCCGGCTCCGGGGGCCAAGTCTGCGCTGAAAATAAAACCAGAAAACAGCTTAAAGCAATTAGCGAGGATGTTATTCTCCGTTTTAGACCCATTCCAAGACACCCTTGCACTGGCTGCACTTTTCAAAGGAGAGTGGCTCCTGGCTCCCGTCTTTTCCGCCCTGAGGAATTCTTGGGGCCACCCCGCATTGCAAGCCCGCCTGCGCCCCCTCGTGTACGCAGGCGCCCAGAGCCACGCGCAGTGTGTCTGGGTCGGGCCGGGCCGGGCCGACCTGGTGGGGACTTCAGGGCCGGACAGTCTCCTTCCCAGGGGACTGATGACACAAAACCTGCACTTCCATTCCGGATTTAGTGTATGATTTGAGAAACCGTCTTCGCGTTCGTTCCTAATTGCTTCTGACTCCAGCCTGTCCCGTCTGTTTGCGGTGGAGCAGGAGACTTTCTGCCTCTCTCCGTGACCCAACAGAAGAGAAGACCAAGCAGGAAACGTACCTCAGTGGCACTGAGAAGCCACGGCCTGACCCCGCGTCGGGGCGGGCGTGTACAGCAGCCAGACCTCTCTGCACCCAGCTGCAAGGTCCTTTGTTGCGTTACTGTTGTTAAAATGTATATTCGGGGGCCGGGGAGATAGCTCAGACGCATAAGCATCTACCTGGCAAGCCTAAGCAAGGTCCAGAGTTGATTCCTGGTACCCCAACAACAAACGTCCGTTAAAATGTATATTCATCTCTTTGGCGTACAGAAACAACCCAGGGCCATGGACGGACAGATAAGGAAGGTCAGAAAGTTCTGAACTCCAAGTCTTTGTGTCTTGATAATTTGATGATTCTTTCCCTTTCCATTCTTTCTGTTTGTCTGTGAAAAGCAGGCAGAAGAGAGTTCAAGTAAATGTAAAAAGAATCTGTTGTCCCCAAACACAGCCAGAAGAGACCCTGCAGTGGGATGCGAATATCAGGAGCCATGGAAGCCTACATAGGAGGGTTAACAACCACCTCCTTAGGATAAGTAGAAGTTTTTGTACTGAAAATCTTGAGTCCTCAATCACACGGTCTCCTGAGATTGACTACTTTGTTTAGTGTCAAGAACAGGGGCACAAATAGTTTCATATCTGTGCCAACTTTAGGTTATTGAGGAGCCTAAAATACTGCATTTGGAGTGTTCCTGAAGGTTGAGTTGGAGGAAAAGCATCATGATTGATTGGTGATGTCTTCCATGGGCACAGAACAGAGGAGAGCTGGTATCCATGGCAACAAGGCAAGAAGAAAAGATAGCGCTCCATCTGAAGAAAGCTAACCCAGGGAGCCCTTCAGTGGTGGTCATTCCTGAATTGCTGACGTGGTTTTTCCGCCTTCTCAAGTCTCATAAGGTCCATGGAACTTGCTCTTTCCCTTTTCCCTTTCTTTGTTTAGGGCGCCTCACAGCTGATGCGAAATAACCACAGAATGGAGGCAAGAATGCATCTGATCGCCACTGTCCCTGAAATTGTCGGGTGACAACTGAATCCCTGCGTGCAAACTGAACATGGCTACATGCCCAGTAGGTGGGTAAGTGCTGTGGGCATACAGAGAAGGGAGGGAGGCACAGAACGTTTGCAAGGTTAGATCCTCTTCAGTCGCACAGCCTTGCAGAGCCGATGAGAGAGCCGGAGTCACTGCCTGCACCCGACAGCATCACAAGAGATGGGAGCAGCGGCAAGCAAGAGGGTAAGCATCTGTCTGCCCCTGACCCTGTGTCTCTCATGCAGCCTTGGATCAAAGGGAAGAAGCTGCCACTGAGGACCAGGCCCGACCCTGGCACTGGGCACCAGGCACATGCCGATGACCCCACAGGTGCCACGAGGCACCACGTAGCCTCCATGTTCCTGGTCCACAGTGTATCTTGAGCCTTCCTGGTTGTCTTCTCACCGTCTCCATTGTGGCCTCAGCCATCATCTCCTCCTCCTGGAAGTGGGAATGTGTGCTGGCCTCCTGCCAGCCTCCCTGGGCCTTCTCTCCACCTCAGCTCTAGGGTGCCCTCTGCAAGCAGCATCCAGGCAGTGATCCTTTGAATAGATGACTTCACCATCACACATGTGATGTGAAGCCTGATCTCTCTTCACCCAGACCCAAGGCTGCTTGTTCAGCTACTGTTGTTAAAATGTGTATGCAGGGGCCGGGGAGGTAGCTCAGAGGCATAAGCATCTGCTTGGCAAGTGCAAGGTCTGGAGTTTGATCCCTGGTACCATAACAACAACAAAATGTCTATTAAAGTGTGTATTCGTCTCTCTTGGGTACAGAGACAACCCAGGGCTGGGGTTATAATTCCCCATGCCGGACAGATAAGGAAGGTCAGAAAGTTCTGAAACACAGAAGTCCCCCCAGGGCCTCCCTGGTTCCTAAAATCCGGCACAAAGGAGCCACAGTATCCCTCTCCATGTCAGCTGTCCCCACCCACTCCCTTTGCTCTGACCCTTTATGCATACCTGCACCTTCATGTGGCCCCTCAGAACGAGCACTTCTCTGCCTCAGACCCTCAAAGAGATTCTGGTCCCCTCAACTCACATTGTCCCTTTCTACTTTGCTGACAGTTACCACCTGTCAGCTTGAATGTCACCTCCTCAGGGACTTCACCTAGCACCTTAGGCTCTCTTTTGGAGCACCTATCCCCAACTATGAGCAATCATTTGTAAAACTGTTCATATAACACCTTTCCCCCTCTTGCCTGTAAGGCCCATGGAAGGAGATCTGGGCCTTCCTTATTTGCCTCAGTAGTTTAGGGCCTAGCACAGCCCCCAGCACATTTCCTGGCCACAGCAGATGCTGTGCATTACTGACCAAATTGATAATAAAGGGGAAGAAGGCAGGCGGATGGATGGATGGATAGATGGATGCACGGGCGAGTGGAAGGAGCTTTCAGAGATTAAAGATGAGTTCTACCCCTTGCTGATCCTATGAGGGAGATAAGCTCTGCGGATTTGGTGTCACTATGCAGGGGAGAGAGTGAACGGAAAGCCGGATTGACCACAGCAGAGGGCCAGAGAGGACAGTCCGAGGTCACAGCTTTAGTTCCCAGGAATCTGAGGTTTGCCTTCCCAGCCTGCCAGGAATAAGTGTCCAGAATATCACCTCTCAAAATATAATTTAAAAAAGAAAAACTCCAAAGGAGAGCTGAATAGGTCAGAGGGAAAGGAGTCAAGCTTTGAGCATCCATTCACGCTGCTGGGAAAGTCAGATAAAAATAGGTCGCATTTCTGTGCTTGTGGGCCAGCTCTGAGCCACGCCAGCCCGCCACAGCAACCTAATTGCCAGACGGTATGTTGCTTTGCCAGGGACCCATCTGAGATCTAAGAAGGCACAGAAGCCCAGCAGCTTCACGAGCCTGTTTTTTGTTTTTGTGTGTGTGGTTTTTTTTAAATAGGCAGACTCCTCAGACTTGTACCCACTAATTGGCCATGTAAATTACTACCTCGGGTATCAGTTGCAACACAAGAGAAAATGGAATATAGTATTGCTTTTGGCTCCCTACTGCAGCCACATGGGTAGAAGGAAGGTTAGGGAGCCAGCTTTCAGGGGCTCTACAGGGGGCAAAGTCCAGCAGAGTCCTCCAAAGAGGGCAGGTTCAAGAATTCAGTCATGATTGCCCCAGAAGACACCCTGCAGAGGTCCGAGGCTGTTTCTCCTAAGGGAAGGCAGATTGCGCTGCTCTCTCATTTGCCTGAACCAGAGGTGTGTCCTCCATTCTGCCAGTGAAGGCTGCCCCAAAGTAGGCTGATGGATGTGAAGAGGACCCAGGGCAGATGCCTGCGGTGGACTGGACAGTATCCTGTTCTACTTCTGCAGAGGACAACTCACCCGGGAAGGCAACCACGCCACGCTCCCACAGCGCCCTGCCGCCTCCTACCCCATGTAGGGTCCGCCAGTCCTAGGCCAGGAGCTCTGTGAACAAAGGACCACATCTGTTGTGCTGGAGCTGTGTCCCAGCCCCTGGCCCAGTGTCCAGCCTCTGCACATGGATGAATAAATGTTTGCTGATGAGGAAATGCACACGCAGAAAGCCTCGTGGGTGCAGCAAAGGGTTGGATGAGAACCAGAGCTTTCTAGTCACCAGAAAAGCCTAGTAGCAGAATGAGCTGGCTGGAAAGGAACGGGCCAGGGAGCCATCTCGGCATACATTGTAGGGCAGCAGTAGAGCGGGTGGCAGTGAGACACAGCAGCACCTAGATGTGCGCCCATGGGCTTTGCAGTCTCACAGACTGACAGACTGCAGTCTCACAGACTGACAGCAGCACCTAGATGTGCGCCCATGGGCTTTGCAGTCTCACAGACTGACATCGAGTCTTGGCGCTGCCAGGTACCTGTGTGTCTACTCCTGTGAGATGTGGCTTGTAATTCGGTTTGAGCTCCCATAAAGAAGAATCTGAGACCAAGATATGAATCCAGGTAGTTTATTTGGGAGGTGCTCCAGGAAGTGGAAGGGAAGCCACAATGAGAGTGAGTCAGAGAAGGAGCAAAACCTATGAAAAGGGTAACATTAAACCCTGCCAGACACATGGGCTTCCTCCTGGTGAGGAGTCTTACAGGAATGGTGTGGACTGTGCCTCAGAATTAGCAGCTTTGCGCATGAAGGGCCTGACTCTGTCTCCCACCTCCCGCCCCTTCCTTCAAGGTGCATTCCCTGCTTTTCTGGGCTGGTTCTGTCTGGGGCGTGAGGCTTTCACCACTCCCTGACTCCGAGGATGCTGCAGGTGGACAGCTGTTCCTCCCCACCCAGCTAGAGGCAGAGGGGGGTGGAGTGGGCGTGGCTCAGGCCCGCCCTCAGGCCCTCCGCAAATATTTCCATGGTTACAGTTTGGAATGGGAGCCCCAAGAGGGAAGGATTTGTCAGACCTGTAGGCAATCTAGAAATAGCCTTTGAATGAATATGTACGCATTAAATAAAATAATATTCCAAAACACTTAACAGAGGACCTGATAAAAATGTAGTAGATGTGCTACTACTATTAGTATTGATTTCTCCTTATTAATAGATGATGATATGTTTTGAGAGGAACAGGAATCGTTCAGAGTAAATTGGTAATCTCTAGGTTTATTTATTTGTTTGGATAACTCAGTGTTTTGCGGAAGGTGGAAATAGTTGCGGACCTGACACGCAGAACGGAAGCGCTAGACGATTAG